TACATACAGTAATGTTTATGTTCCTAAATTAATATCGTTTATGACCTTCAGATGCGTTATGCTCTTCTTTTTTTTATGCTTAGCTACTAAAATTTCCCTTTAGTGGTAAAATTCCATATAAATATTCAAAACTAAGCGGTTTAAAATGTGCACAGTAAAGAGATTAAATGATTAAATCTTTTCACTACCAACCAATGCACCACGAGTGCCCCTGTCGGTCATTTTGTCCAGCCAATCACTTACCGCGGTGCCCTGCGGTGGCTTGTGGGTAGTTTACCATACCGCGGGTTTGTACCGTGCATTTTGAATGGCTGCATCTGTATGTCTTTGAAACCGTGTAGTAACTGCCCAGCATCTGTGCCTGTTTATTCAACAGGAGAAAGCTCAGAGAACAAGGAATGAAATACAATGTAGGGTGGCGTAGTGGCCATTCAATTCAACTTACAGTCAATACAGTCCCAGACAACTGGTGATTTTGTTATGAAATCCCCATGACCATTGGCCTAATTTGTAACAAGCAGAAATGTTACTAACTTTTAGCCTGATCACTGGATTTCTGAAGTGAAACAGAAAAGGACTTGGTTAGTAGTGGGATGCGAAACCTCTTTTGTTGTAGTGATAAATTACTACACATTTTGACAACATTACAAATAAACTGAATCATTTTTAAATCATTTCATGAGGTGAGAATATAAAAATCTAGAAATAAATCTAGAAATCTGTTTAATGTTTTAATAAGTTTCAATAAGGACTTAATTGGAACCAAAACAAAAAACAACAGTTCATGAGGACTTGTGAGAAAACCTGATGTACTGTAGTCTTTTAGTCAATAATACAATTCTATTAAAATGTCTATAAGGACCTTTAGAAGTTCAATATACTGATACCTAAAAGTGATAATTAATTTTTATCTGTGGTAATGGAGATTTATTTGCACAATGGGGATAATTCTCTCAATATTTACACTTTTGCTTTTCTGTCTTTTCTGTTTAGTTTAAACCATACTATGTAGAGGACGGTGTAAAAGGAGACGAAGATGGATTTCTTCCTTTTGTCATCTATGACATCATGGGAATAGATACAACTGTGACGAGTCCTGATGACTTCGTCAGTGCGGTGAAAGGCCATATTCTTGAAAAGAATGGATACACGGTAAATTGAACTGACAATGCATCACCATTCCACCACCAAATAACTGCTCTAGGAAAATTGTCTGTTTAAACACTAGCCTCTTTAGACAGGATGCTTGGGAAAAGGAAAAGACCCCTTTCAAAGAGCAGAAATAACTAGGCAGTAGTTCAAGTTGAAAAGGTGAATGACAAGAAGCAGGACCAACATTCTTAACAGACAGTGAGTTTCATGGTACAGATCATTGTGTGATCTTAAATAACTTAAAAGTGACAAGAAAGTACACAGTCTAGCCCAGTTTTGATTTGTACACAAGCCCAGTTTTGATTATACATATGAAAAACAAAGCAATAACACAAGAACAACATATGAATATTTTTGCTAATTAACATTTGGGCTTATAAAAGTAATATGTTGAGTTTCTGTATGTGCCTGTCGGTCTTTTTAAATTGTCTGGGGAAGTAAGTAGTACTCCTATTTAATAATAATGCACAGACAGTACCATCTTCAGAGAGGTATCTCAAGTGAGGCACAGTATTAAGTGTAGAGTGAAGAATGGTAAAAAGCAGGCAATTCAGGTGGAGCTCTGGATGACTACTGACACAAAGCCTCTGTCTCTGTAATACTGACAAATACTCTAATTCTACTGTATGCTTGTACAGCTGCTGTGAGTGTAGCTTGCAGTGCTTTCGGGTGTGCTACAAAAGCACAACCATCAGCCTACTGGAGTTCAAGGACATGTTCTGATTTTAGCTTAGTGGCAGTCTGGAATCTCCTGATATTGAAGAGGTTCCCATTTAAACAAAAGTTCAAAATTACCCCACTCTCTACAACCATATCTGTGTACAGGAGGAAGATATTGAAAAGGACTGGTGCAAGCACACAACCCTCAAAAGCAGGGTTTGTGAGGGTGTCAATGTGCCTGCCTTCGCCAGAACTTTAAAGGCAGCTGAGAGGAAAGATATGCCTCTGCTGTTACTGCAAATGGATTTGTCACCCTTCTTACAAATGCTGACAATGTTTTCAACCCTCCATTGATGTGGAATGCATCCTTGTTTCCACACCTCTACAAACATAATCTCCCTGTATAGTATTTCAGCAGCAATGAAGTCAGGTCCAGGAGTTTAGTATTTTTTGCGAGACTTGATGGCAGAGTAGACTTCAATGAAGGTGGATGGTGGGCAGGACTGGAAGACTGGAAGTCTCCTAAAACTGATAAGTCACCTACAGTAGGTTTGGCCAGTTTAAGAGTGTATGAAAATATTTGCTCTAATTTAGTACTACTTTTCTTTGACCCTTTCGTAAAATCTACTCTCCTACAGTAATAGGATAGAGAGGGCCATGGATAGTCTTCAATGTGTCATAGACGTTAGCATGTCGTATTAACTCCTGCAGTTCCTGTGCCTTGCATAATGTATCTACCTCTCATTTAGAAATTGCTGCAGAACATTCTGTACATTCCTCTTCCATTCTTCCTTCTGATTGCTGAGAATCACAGAAGTGGGGTTGTAGTCCTTGTGCATGGTACTGTTATTAGGTTGTAAATTTCTTTTAGTTCTTATCAAACTAGTCTTAATGTTTCTTTCTACTATAGCCAATGGATTAGGCTGCTTTCTCATGGAGCAATATAAAGAAGTCCATTTGTCCTCAATAAAGCCCTCTGTACTAAGTTGACATCAAGGTTTTCTAGAATGCTGCCAGCTGGTTCATGCCTCCTCTTCTTGGAGGGAGGCAAAGTGCAGTTTTGTTTTGGAAGACTGCTTTTGGTCGGCCACGCCTTCATTCTGGGCTTAGCAATGATCATCCTGTGGTCCATCTGTCACTCTGCTCATCTCATGATGAAAGGACATGTTTAATATCAGAGAGCCTAACAATGACGTAATCTACGAGGTACAAGTGCTTTGACCATGGATGCATCCATTTGTATTTATTTTTCATCAGAAATATTGTTTGTGATAGTGAGACTATGCTGAGACTTAGCAGCTTCAATCCACTTTTCACTTGCATATCCAATGTAAGATTGTATGCACATAATATTTTATTGGTGGCAGTTTTTTTATTGCAAAGTAGATACCATGCAGATGTTCTCCTCCTGAGGGTTAATCCTTCCAGAAAAAGGTGTAGCCTTCTCTGTTCTTCCTGAGAGACACTTCACCCAGAAGTCTGGTCTCACTTTGAGCACTGATATCAATATTATAATGTTTCAACTGTGCCACAATGAGTGCAGTTCTGTGTTTGGGCCTATCTGTGCCATAACTGCTGTCCAGAAGAGTCCTTATGATCCATATTGCTAGTTGGAATGAGACAATTCTGCTGTGAAGTTTTTGACCACTAGGCTGAACGTCCCAAAAGGTGAGGCAGCTTAACTTCGAAATTGTGAGTGGACAATGTTTGAGCCAGCTTTTCCAGGGCAGGGTGGTCCCTAAATAAAGCTGTCAGACACCAGGGTCTGCTGGGAGCAGCTGTCACTGTCACGATCGTAAACCCGTCCTCTTAAGGATGCTCCAGCCCTTCCTTGATCAGTACTCATTCCCTGCACCTGCCTCTGGTTCTTGCCCCCCGTCCTATAAAAGCCGGGCGCTCACTCTGTTCCAGGCTCTGCATCGGTTCCCATACCAGGTAAGTCCGGGACCTGGAAGTGCCTGGTCCCATCAAGGTTTTAAAGTTCCTGTTCCTGCCGGTTTCTACCCTGTTCTAGTTTTAATTCTACTTGTCTTGGATGGACCGCCTGGTTCTGGGCGGTCCATCTTTTGCCTTCTCTCGGATTCCCCATTGGACTCAGTTTAGAACAGTTTGCCTCGGCCACACCTTCCCCAAACACCGGCGCACTATGGACATGCCCCTTGTTTTTATTCCTGATCCCTGCATGCCTTTTTCCCTGTGTTTTCCTCACTCTACCCCAGATTGTGTCGTCTGCATAGGGTCTGGAAAGAATGCTTTCATGACAGTCACTTAGATCCCAGCTGCTGATGACCAATAGCCCTGTGCCACTACCATGCAGGGCCCAGACTAGGGGCTTCCAGGTCATTCAGTCCTGCCGCTGTCACCAGGACTCCCATTGCCTAGACTTTAGTAATTATAGAAATCCAGGTGAAAGCAAAATAGCTGTACAGAAACACCTACTTCAGTGTGAGGTTTTGTATGAACTTATACTTATACTTATACTTATGAACTTGTGTATCATCAGAATAGAAATAATAATTCAAAGCATGTGATTAAATAACTAACCTAAGTGGGAACATGCTGAATAGTAGGGGTACCAGCCCCTGGTTAAATAACCAGTAACAAGCCCTCAGCAACACCAAACCTAACACAACCGAAACCTCCAAGAGAAACAAAGTGTCGGCAATCAGTAGGGTAAGAGCTGAATCATTTTAAGAGCAATTTCTGAAACTCCAAACACAGTCTCAGGATGAGAAAGTACTGTAGATGTGTCAAAAGCAGCACTGAATTCAAGGTGAATAAGGATAGTCTGAATTAGCAGCCAGGAGAAAATCAAGAGTAACTTTTACTTTTTGTGCTGTGCAATTGCCTGAACCAAACTGGAAGGTTTTGAAGAGGTTATTTGGAATGAGCTGGTTACTTAATTGACTTGTAACAGCACATTCCAAACTGTTTGCAAGAGAAAACAAGTTGGATATAGGGTAAAAATTGTTTAGGTTGTATAGAGCAATATTTGGTTTTTAGGCACAAGGCCATTGGTACCCTCCAGTGGCAAGAACGCATTTATTGTGTTTGAGGACGACAGGGCAGAGGGTAGAAAAATTGAAAGGATTGAAAAAACAGTATGAAAGGGATCTAATAAGCAGGCGGTGGATTTCTTATGCAATATCAATTTACTTAGGTAAGCAATGTCAATTTCGAGAAACTAGAAAGGGCAGGAAAAATACCCATGCAGGGAGGAAGAGTAGAAACATGGTGAAATGAATGTGATGCCAGATGCTGTTAACCTTGGCACTAAAGAGAGTTGCAAAATTGAGATAAAACAGATAATGTAATATGGAGGTTTGATTTAATCAGGAAATTAATGGTGGAGAACAAGTATTTAGGATTGGTATGGTTGTTCTCAATGATATGGGAGAAGCAGCTGGATCTCGCAAACCCCAAGACGGAAACACATTTAATCGAGTGTTCCTTCCAAGACTGAAGGTATAAACTGAAGCCAGAAAGTACCACTTACAGATGCAGCCATTCAAATTGCGCGGGCGATACCGCATTATTTTGCGGTGCCCTTTACGCAGTCTACCGCGAGTTACCGGTAAATACCGCTAGTTACCGTAAATTCTCCTATAATACTGCAAGCAAAATAATAGTATCCGGAATTTCCGCAAGGTGGAGCTAATAAAGCTCAACC